ACACTAAAAATCAGATCGACTGCATGTCAATGTGAAGAAAGTGGAGACGCAGCCTGCCTACTGGACACAAGATGAGATGAAGAAGAGGAGCAGATGTAGGTAGATTCACACCACTCACTGAATAGTGTAAGGAAGCTGCCTTCAAAATGAAGTTGAAAGCCTTTGAAGAAGATGGTGATAGACTAGAGTTGAAGTTGAACACACAGAACAGAAAGTGAAGTGAAGGATGAAACTTCAAAGGATATCTTCACGTCAGTCAGTCATCAGGAAAAGATGGGAGATATTGAGCAACATCCATGAAGGATCGGGAGTGGAATAACACTGGAACTCTTTGAAAGTTGTGTGGAAATAAACCTGCACAACCTTGTTAGAAAGGAAGAGGAGAGAAGACAATGAATAGATGTGGGTGGACACATGGAAGCTGATAGAGGAGGGAGAGGAGGATGTTGAAGCAGAAGATAAACCAGTGCAAGGATGCACAACGAAAAGGGGAACTGAGTACAAGGTATAAAACACTACACTGGACAAAGAAGTGAAGAAGAGTGCTCAGAAAACAAAATACACTTCTGCGACAGACACATTGGAAGTGAAACAGAACAGTCTGCTGGTAAGAGAGACAGAGACCTGACAACACTATATCAAATAACCAGGTCACTTACTATCAGGGAGGTGCAAGATCAACTCAGATGAAACCAATGAAAGATAGTGAGGGGAAGCTAGTTACCAAAAAGAGAGAGGAGAAACAAGGAAACGATGATCTGACCACTTAACAGAGCTCTCGAATTGACCACCACCACCACCACCATCTGCAACTCGTCCAGAAATACGACCAGCAGCTCAGCCACAGAACTATCAGTGAACACAGGCCCTCCGACAAAAGCAGAAGTGAAGTCTTGAATGCCATAAAGCTGCTGAAATTCGGTAAAGCAGCAGGACCAGATGGAATTCCACCAGAAGCAGTGAAAACAGATGTGGAGATAACAACGACGGACATGCTCACACATCAGCACTGCATAAGGTTTGGAAGGATAGCAGGAGAGGTACCTGTCGAATGGTGGAAGAGTCACCTTGTCAAGTTGCCAAAGAAGGGAGACCTAAGTGTTTGCAAGAAGTGGTGAAGAATCATGCTCCACTAATGTCCACCCCAAGCAAGCAAAATATTCAGCCACATTATCCTGGAGAGAATAAAGAACACCCTAGATTCGGAATTACGACCGGAATAGGCTCGCTTAAGAATGAACGGTACACTACGCATCATCATAGAGCAGAGTATAGAATGGCAGTCAACTCTCCGCCCCAACTTCATGGAAGTTGAAAAGGCCTTGATTCCATAGAGTCGAACGAGAAGTAATTTGGAAGTTACTTCAACACTACAGTTTTAGTGCTACAAACATTCATCACATTTTTGAGATGAAAGAAGATTCTTAATTTAGAAGTAGTATTCATCATGGACTGACATCAGTTGGGGAACCATTGAAAATCTGGGAGCACTAGACAGCTGTTTCATCCTCGTATCACACTTATCATATGCCATGTGATTCACAATGGAAAGCTCAGTGACGCCTTTGAAGTGAAGACAGAGAGGAGTAAGACACAACAAGGCTGTCTACTATCACCCATCATCTTCCTGATTGTGGTCGACTCGACTGAACTGGATGATGCAGCAAACCGTGAGGAGTGAGAAGAGGGGCATACGCTGGCTGAACCGATGAAGAAAAGACCTCAGAAGAAGATTTGGATTTCACCCCCAACGATGATGATGATGATGATGATTTATGTCTATTGACTTATGTCGCACAAACTCGAAGATCTACAGGCAGAAACCAACAAGTTGACAGAAGAGGTGAGGCAGCGGAAACGGGACTTCGAGTGAATGTAGAGAAGACGGAGGTGATGAAGATATCCAACCATCAACAGCATGAATAACAAGCACCAATCAGCATGAACGGGAGAAAGCTGAGTGAAGTAGTCTCTTTCAACTACCTTCCTAGGCAATATCGTTTCAACTACAGGTGGCACAGACACAGATAAGGGTGTCAAAACCACGATCGAAAAGTCATGAGGATAGGCCTTCATTAACCTGAAATCAGTGTGGAGATCTACTACACTACACTACACTACACTACACTACACTACACTACACTACACTCAACACAAAGAACAAGATGCAGATTTTCAACACTAATATCAGTCAAGTCAGTGCTTCCATGTGATTCTTCGGAAATTTGGCGCCTCACGAAAAGCACTTGCAACAAACTACAGACATTCATCAACAGCTGCCGCCTACACTCATTGGATACTGACACTGAATATCAGATGGCGAGAATAGTATGAATAAGCAAGAAGGGAACAAGGGAACTGTGGCTGGTTGGCTGGCTGGCTGGCTGACTGACTGGCTGTCAACAAACCAACCAAGAACTCATCGCCAACAAATATGCAGAAGAAAGTGGAGATGGAATGGAATGGAATGGATTGGATTGGATTGGGCATACACTGAGAAGACCGATTGGGTAAATCACACGTCAGGCCAGTTCCTGGAGTGGAATGCGAGGGGGGAACGACGAGTTGGGTGTCTGAGGCGAGGTTGACGTTGAGTGGATGGTGTGAGGAAGAAATGAAAGCCTGTGAGCAGACATGAAGTGAGGTTCAAAAGATTGTAGAGTTCAGAGTGCAATGGTGGCGTGATACTGAAATCCTTCGATCCAATAGGAACCCAAGGGGAAAATATTAATTATTAATTTAATGTCTATCCAACGAAAGACTTTTGGAGAGGGTTGAAAGCATTTGTCAGATTCTACGGCTGCATTCCATCAAACAAATACCACGCAGTTAAGTCTTTTAGATAATTTTATTTTTGTCAACAGGAAACTTTGTTGGATGACAAATTTTGTAACGATTTTCATTTTCTGTAATAAACTTAGCTTTGTAACAGTTTAGTAAAGTCTTCAAAATTGTTTATTTAATATGCTGACTGAAGCAGCAACTCAGAAATTGTCAGTAACTTTATAACCAATGAATTTGAAAGCAGGTCTTTATTCTAGACGATGAATATGGATTGATAAAAGCTGTCAGTATACATTACACAGGATAGAAAGAGGTAAGAAACAACACAAGGGTTAATTAGCGATGAGCAACTGCAGTGAGCATTTGAGACTCCAGCAAAATCCTTGTTGACCATTTTTAGTTCATCTGACCGAAGAGAAAGTTGAGATGACAGGTTCTCATGTACAACAGTTTATCGTAGGAGAAGATTAAAAATGATCTGGTAAATGCCATTCAAGGATAAACTTTTTTATTTAAGAGGTTTTATCGATAGGAGCGAAACAGGCATATTGCTCAATTACATAGGTAGACGCTGTGAGACAATTTAGAAAGGAATACAGATGAGGTGGTAAAGGCTGATACTTTTTATTAACTATACAAAGATGTACAAAATTCTAAAAATGATTTACTGAGTATTGTATGAGTTGGAGAACCGTTGAAAACCTGGAAGCACTGGACAGCTGTTTTATCCCAGTATTAAACTCCTCAGCAACACGCACACACGAGGGATTGAACCCAGAACTTTCAGCTTTCATGGGGAATGTGACAGTCCCTGGTGAATACTACCTTAAAATAAAATCCCCATCAATCTCAAACTATATTATTGTATAAGTGTTTGAATACATCAAGAAGTGCAGCAATTCATTGTCTAGCAGAGAATTTTTTTATTAATAACTTCACCGTAGGTACAGCACATCTCAGTATAAAAAGGCTCTTTTTCCTAAATCAGAATAATCCTAACAAATAATGTATGCATATATAATGTAGTGGCAGACGACAACAATTAACAACTTCAGTGATTAGCACAAGGGATGAAATATGACGAAAAAGACTAGCCGTGAACAATCCAAAGGTGACTGGATCCAAGAAAAATGTGTAAAATATTTAGAGAAATTGCTTCTTGCTGTTACAAGTCAAATAAGAAATATTACTCCTGTTACGTCATTATGTTTTTTACCCTCTGAACTGTAACGAAAAAGTCAAAGTCGTTATTCCTACATTTGTTGCAACCACCTACCAGAACTATTGTTTTCATAGTCTTTGTTCATTTCTAATGAGCTTATCCCATGACAACGATTAGATATGCACTCTTGTAAGCTGCAGTAGTCCATATTTATTTACTGGCTACTCAAATTCGCGTTATTAACTAGCTAAGTCAACCGTAGTTCTGTTATTCTAGGGTCCTTTAATTCAAGTCCTCATTTGTTCGTCTTCTGTTACATCATCCCATTTTTTACTTTGTTTTTCTTTTGTAAATAATAATAGTAGCAGTCATTGTTGACTGGGCAGAAGTGTTGATATCAATTACTGACTCTACTTGTTTGTCACTACTAATGAACATTATTCGACTGCTGTAAGTAATGATTGTACTTTCAACCGGAGGGTGTGTTAGCCACCACATTCTTATGCAGTGTAAACGTAAAACTAACCGAGAAGTGCATCATCTACCCTCAGACAATAGCACTCAGCCCACTCTTCGATTATTAAGCAGAGATCATTTCATGCATAAAATTTTTATCCTACCCATCATCATATTGAGAATATTACAGTCTTGTTCATAATTCATTTAGTAACTCCGAAGATTCTATTATTTGAAAGCTTTTACAAACAGATGCAATTTGCGGAACCATAATTCAGGTTACATCAGTTGACGACAAGGATACAGCCATAGATGGTTATCTAGTGCAAATGTAAGATTTTAATGCAGTATACACTGCCAACTACATCCTACATTAGAAAAAATGTCATTTAATTGGAGGGACTAAACACTGGAACCAGTTCATCCTCGTACAAATTAGAGCTCATAGTTTAATCAATCTGTAAGACTTAATTTTCATCCAAGTACTTATTCATAAGTAACATGCTAAATTATAACAGTATAACGAAATGCATAAGAGTATAACAGGGGAGGTCACAGATTTCCATATCATGCAATTCTTTATTCACGATGTCTTAGTCCAGGAAGGATTCTCCATCAAACTGGATATTAAGATATTAATATAAAGAAAACCAAATCAAGAAATCATTCTAGTATTACTTTACAAATAATTGCATTATGAATCATAACTGCTCACATAGTAATTACGGAAATTCTAGTTTGAAAAAAAATCAAAAAAATCCCTTCTAACCAAAATAAAGACAGAGAAATAAATAGGCAGAAATGTACAAAATTCGTATTTGCTTAGTATTATACATACTAGTAGTACATTGAAGCTAACGATTATCTACGAAAGTAATATAATGATACATTCTAAAAATTTGACATTCCAACAAATTTTCTTCAGGGAGGGGACTTTACAGCATGTCAATTAGCCTCAACTGTGAAATATCTCACAAAGTGGAAAAAAAAGGTAAATGTTAACTACTGTCAAGCGAAGGATGAATTTAAGTTGTTTCGGGCCAAAAATGTAGGCGTTGTAGACATGTATTTACTTCTACTAAAACAAAATTTCAATCTGTAAAAAGAAGGATGAACGGGATCTATATTGTGCGTAGGAATCAAGAGCACGGAAAAACATGTTTAAAAACATTTCACAAAAAGATTCAAGTTATATGGTAGAATGATTTCAAAATGTACTCATAATTTGTTGCAATGTGTGCTTACAATCACTCTTCACATCGTACCCATAAATATTTAAATTATATTTCACCGTGTCCATTTACGTGCATGTAACTGATTTAGTTGAGACAATGATAAAGTCCCATATGTTTGATTATAATTGCTAATTGACTGATCGAACAATTTTGCTGCTGGTCGTATAGATGTTGTTGCTGGTGTACTCATAAGCTGTTGTCTGTTTGCAAGACAATTATTCACTGACTTTGTTGAGTTCTATAAAAGAATGATAAGTAATAAACAAAAGAGGAAAGGTTTAAACGATACCTCATTCAATATACAAATATCTACTAATTGTTTAAATGGTTATCTATCTGTTTAAGGTAACGGGATTCAATAGCCACCCCAAATGCTAAATGTACCGGATGTTGACAGCATCGACAAACTTCTGCACTAAATTTAGCACTTGGATTCTACAATAATATCCTAGCTTACACTCTTTATGTCATTCGAATGAATGGCTTACTTGTTTGGAGTATATAATATCACAGGAATATATATCTGCTTACTTTAGATAAGATGGCTGAAAACTAAATCATCCACACTAGAAGATTTATTCGCTCCCTTTAAAACGGATATCTTGTTAACTTTCAACTTCATTGTTTCATATTCAGACGTTTTTTATTGTTCATTTTGTATACCTATCTACCTTTTTTCTTCTTTACTGCAAAATTTGCTGAATTCAAGTGACATATTTGAGCAAAATTCTACACAAGTCAAACAGTCTTCCTAATCTGTTACAAACTTTTCTTTCAGTCTGATTTCATTACGGTTGAAAGTACCCATTTTTTACCCCGCAAAAATCAGTCATTTATAGATAACCAATGTGTGCTATCTGTACATAGTATGTAATAGATTCTATGATAATGTATTGGCTGTTTTCAACGAATCAGTTTATCTTACACTGTATTACATAGTGACTCAAGAAAAGTATGAGTAATCGAAATGAAATTCATATAAAATGATGTTATGTAGCGAATCCTTTTTTACCATTTTCTAATGACTATGTGGTCTAGTAAAGTCTGTGATTTCGACACTGAAAGACATGATTGAATTTTCGAGCAAACCTATGTTTCTTCAAAGTTGTAGGTATACCTTGTCGGTGAGCGTCAACAAAATCAAATCTATGTGAAGATTTACCGACTCCTAACACATGAAACTGACTAATTGACAATAAGAAATCCAATATCATACAAAATACGTTAATCATTATGATAGTATTGGGAAATATGAATGCAACTTCCTTCTGAAAAATCCTGTCTTTGACTAACGTAGACAGTGATTTCTGGTAGCTTTATGGATTTGTACTCTACATCTGTTATAATCACATCCAAATATTGAACAATCTCAATGTTCAATCGATCTGTGTTCGAATGCCACTAAATTACTCCTGCTCAGTTGTGGATGTTGCTTGTCGTTTTAAGGATTTGAATTTCAAGCTTCAGATCACAGGTTCAGAACTGACCCTACCTACTTCAGCTTTGATAGTTGGATACTGTTGTAAGCCGTCATCTAATAAGTGTGGCTCGTTACCGAGCATAGAAACATGTACCTGGTTGAGATGTATTATCATTATCATTGTTTTGCTGCTCTTGTTAACAAGGGCTAGACAACGTTGATCCTTCATATGAGGTTTTCGGATATTTTTCATGTAGATACTTAACATACACTTCGTAAGTAACAGACATTTACATTCCAGTATTATAATGTATCATGGCTATTATTTATCATTTAACCTGTAAATAATAGTGGCTACTTATGAACTTCGATATTCAGTTTTTTGGCTTGTTTACGTGACATCTTTCATTTATTCTAGGTAATGATCGAAGGTGAAAAGAAAATCTAGACCGCAGTAGGATTCGAACCGGCGACCTCCAGGTTTTCCGCCCGGTGCTTTACCAACTGATATACGGAAACCCGGAGGTCCCTAATTCGAATCATACCGTGGCCCAGATTCTCATTTCACCTTCAATCATCATACAGTATCACTACAAGTCTGCCAAAACATAGCTATCTCAGATATTCAAACTGTATTCAGAAATATAATAATATGCATCACAGTGGTGTTAATACTTAAATGTGAAAATACTTTGTTTCAAATCCTAAGTGAAGTAAATAACACTGAATTAGAACGACAATCAAAAGATTACTAATGACATACATTAACTCAAATATGGTGGATTCAAGCGAGTACAACGCTATAAATAATACAGAGTGGGATTGACAGAATATTCTTAAACTATTCATTTGAATAATGAGTAATTAATCCAAGCTGCAGGAATTGGATAACAGTTAACTTTTCAGGAAAAGTCATATAACTAGGTCTGCTTTACTTGAAATTAAAAAAAGACTTAGCTGATTGTTTGGATTACTTCCACCATAACTCTTACCCAAACATGAAAGTTGCTAGTATCATTTGAAACAGCTTCAGTTAACTAATCAAACTTGAAGCAAAGAGTTGAAAAGGGAGAAAACGCTGATTCGTTCTCACTAGAACTGGAATCAGTCATGTTTATGTTATCTGCTCTCCAGTCTACTGACTAATCTACCATATCCAACAGCCAATCATTATTATTATTATTATTATTATATTACTTGTCCTTTCTGTCCCTAGAGAAACATAGCGCTTCAGTATCACGCCACCATTGCACTCTGAACTCTACAATCTTTTGAACCTCACTTCACGTCTCCTCACAGACTTTCATTTCTTCCTCACACCATCCACTCAACGTCAACCTCGCCTCAGACACCCAACTCGTCGGTCCCCCTCGCATTCCACTCCAGGAACTGGCCTGACGTGTGATTTACCCAATCGGTCTTCTCAGTGTATGCCCAATCCAATCCAATCCATTCCATTCCATTCCATCTCCACTTTCTTCTGCGTATTTGTTGGCGATGAGTTCTTGGTTGGTTTGTTGACAGCCAGTCAGCCAGCCAACCAGCCACAGTTCCCTTGTTCCCTTCTTGCTTATTCCTACTATTCTCGCCATCTGATATTCAGTGTCAGTATCCAATGAGTGTAGGTGGCAGCTGTTGATGAATGTCTGTAGTTTGTTACAAGTGCTTTTCGTGAGGCGTCAAATTTCTGAAGTATCACATGGAAGCACTGACTTGACTGATATTAGTGTTGAAAATCTGCATCTTGTTCTTTGTGCTGAGTGTAGTGTAGTGTAGTGTAGTGTAGTGTAGTGTAGTGTAGTGTAGTGTAATGCAGTAGATCTCCACACTGATTTCAGGTTAATAAAGGTCTATCCTCATGACTTTTCGATCGTGGTTTTGACACCCTTATCTGTACCTGTGCCACCTGTAGTTGAAACGATGTC